ATGTGGTGGATTACGTTGATTGATTTTCTAATGTTGAACCATCCTTGCATACCTGGTATGAATCCCACTTGGTTGTGGTGTATTATTTTTTTGATATGATGCTGAGTTCTGTGGGGTAGAATTTTGTTGAGAATTTTTGCATCTATATTCATGAGAAATATCGGTCTGTAATTTTCTTCTTTTGTGGTATCAGGGTTATGCTGGCTTCATAGAATGAATTTGGAAGTATCCCTTCTTTTCTGTGTTCTGAAATAGTGTGAGTAGTACTGGTGTAAGCTCTCTCTGAATGTTTGGTAGAATTCTCCAGTGAAGCCATCTGGGCCAGGGCTTTTTTGGGGGGGAGTTTTTTTAGTTACCTTTTCAGTCTTCTCTTATTATGGGTCAATTCAGATTTTCAACTTCAGTTTGTGTTAGTTTGGGTAGGTAGTGTGTTTTTAAAAATTCGCCCATTTCCTCTAGGTTTTCAAATTTGTTGGAGTATATTTTCTCATAATACTCTATTATGATCCTTTTTATTTCAGTTGGGTGTGTTGTAATGTTATTTCTTATTTGGGTTATTTGTGTCCTCTCCTGCTTTTCTGTTGTCAGTTTGGCCAATGGTTTGTCGAGTTTGTTGATCCTTTCAAAGAACCAACTTTTGGTTTTGCTCATTCTATTGTTTTTCTCATTTCTATTTCATTTACTTATGCTCTGATGTTTATTATTTCCTTTCTTCTGGTGGCTGTGGGCTTCTTTTGCTGTTCTCTTTCTGTTTGTTCGAGTTGTATAGTTAATGTGTTGATTTTGTCCCTTCTTTTTTGATGTGTGCATCTATTGCTATAAATTGACCTCTGAGCATTGCCTTTGGTGTGTACCAAAGATTTTGGTATGATGTGTTTTCATTGTCGTTTGATTCTAGGAATTTTTTGATTCCATCTTTGATTTCTTCTATTACCCAGTGGTTTTGAAGCAGAGTTTTATTCAGTTTCCATGTATTTGATTTTTTTTCCTTGTTATTCCTGTTACTGATTTCTGCTTTGATGGCATTGTGATCAGACAATATACTTTGTATTATCTCAGTGTTTTGGATTTTGTTGAGGGTTGCTTTGTGGCCTAAGATGTGGTCTGTTCTGGAGAATGTTCCATGTGCATTGGAAAAGAATGTGTACTTTGCAGCTGTTGGGTGGAGTGTTCTATATGTGTCTGTGAGGTCAAGTTGCTTGATTGTGGCCTTTAAATCTTCTGCATCTTTGTTGAATTTCTTTCTAGAAGGTCTCCTACTATTGTGGAACTATCTATTTCTTTTCTCAGTGCTGTTAGAGTTTGTTATGTATTTTGGAGCCCTGTCATTGGGTGCGTAGATATTTAGTGTAGTTATGTCTTCATGGTGGATTGTCCCTTTGATCATTATATAACGCCCTTCTTTGTCTTTTATGGTGGATTTTGTTTTAAAGTCTATTTTATATCTGAGATTAGTATTGCCACTCCTGCTCTTTTTTGGTAGCTGCTTGCTTGATACATTTTTTTCCATTTGATTTTTAATAAATTTATGTCTTTGTTTCTAAGGTGTGTCTCTTGTAGATGGCATATTGATGGGTCTTGTTTTTTTTATCCATTCTATCACTCTCTGTCTCTTTATGGGTTCATTTAAGCCATTTACATTCAGTGTGATTATTGTTAAGTGTGAGTTTACTGCTGTCATTTTGTAGTGCTTTTTTTTTGTGGTTCTGATGTTTTCTTTGTTTGTCTTACCCTTCTGTGCTGACTTCCTTTTATTTGTGTGGTCTTTTTGTTTGTTTCATTTTTGTAGATTTTGTGTTTACTGAAGCTTTATGTTTTTCTTCTTTATTTTGATAAGTAGGTTTGCTAACTTAGTTTGTGGTTACCTTGAACTTTACCCCTATTGGGAAGGGAAAATTTAATGAACATCTGCTTGTTCTAAGTAAGGTAGGAACATGATTTAATTTGAAGGCAGTGATTATGTACTATTTTCTTCAAAAATTAATTAAGAGGGAAAGGTATAGCAGCTAGCCTGAAGGAGAAGCAAGTTGAAAAAACGAATATATAAATCAAATGCTTAGCACGGTGCCTGGCACATAGTAAATATTATTATAAATACTGTTACTTTTGTTTCTAACAGCAGATGTTCATTAAGAATTCATTAAGTTCATCAGCGCATGTTCATCAAGTGCTAGTCACTATAGGAGAAACAAAAATGAATGGAATCTGTAGATACTTTGCCCTCAAGGAACTTATACTTTGAGGGCAAATATGGAATTTATTCAAAGACCTAAAAGAAAAGGTAGAAAACAAAGATTATTACCAGAAAAGTTACCAGAATGGTATGGTATTTCAAAAAAAAGAGAAATTAATTCCCTAGAAATTCTATGGTTATGGTTATTTGTATATTTCTTCTCATTAGTTTACAAACTATTTGTAAATAAGGTGTCTCTTTTATTCATTTCTGTATTCCTCAGAACGAATCTTGCCATCATTAATTCTAAATATTTATATTTTTGCTTAATGGAAGAAGGCATGTTTATGAATCAGCCATTTCTTCACAAAAACATCGTATAACACTTAACTGATTAAATTATATATAGTTAGTTGTTACCTTTTTTGCTGTCTAGTAGACCGTAAGCACTGAAAGGTACAGATTGTGTTAGCTTAACCATCTCTTCATCATCCAGGTCCTAGCACCGTGCCTGACAAATAATAGGTGCCCAATAAATGTTTATTGAATAAATGAATGAGATCACAATCAGTGTCAGTAGCATGTTTTTGAATACTAGCTGTTGGCATCTCAGAGGAGAGGGAGTATAATTTGAAAGTATTTGTTAGATAGTCTTCTGTTTAACGTGAGTCTTCTGTTTAACAGATCTTCTATGTTTAGAACTTAAGGAAATTTTCACTAAAGAAGGAATAACAGAGCTGAAGTATCTTTTAAAGTCCTTGTGCTTTGTTTTTCTTATCTCTGCAGTGCTGAATTATCCCAAGGTCATTACTGGAATGGGCTAGGCTCTCCTCCAGATTCACCATCTCCTGGGAGTGACGTTTATTGCAGCAGTGAGCTGAATGACCCTCAGTATGACCAGAGTCTCCTGGAGAACTTATTTTACGTAGCACCTGTAAGTCATTGAATCTGAAGCTTTGGGGATTAGAGAACAAGAGTATTAATATTAGGAGCTGCAGGTACGTTCACCATGTGCCAGACAGAATGCTATGCATTTTACATGCTTTAATCCTCAGGAAAATATTATCCTCATTTTACAGATGAGGAGAGTGAGCCTAGTAAGATTAAATATTTTGTCTAAGGACACATACCAAGTAGATGTGAGAGCCAGGATTCAAATTCAGGTATGCCTGAGTCCAAAGCCTATGCTCTTAATTAATACATGACTTCCTTAAAGCTCTTCTAAGGAAAAGCTAATGCAGGTATACTGTCAGAACCACCCTTGACAGATGTCTATTCAAAATATTCCAGAAACACATCTAGTAATAGGTAACAGATAACTTCCATTGACCGTTAAGACAGGACATTCCCCTTTCATGCATTTCTAGTTGCTTCAGAGTTCTTTATTATATCAAGCCTTATGTTCTGTTCATTGGCTTAGAATCTTCTAAAGTCCATACATAATAAGTCCAATCCCTCTTCTACAAATAATCATTTTTATGTGTGAAGAAGATTGCCATCATACTCCTGATTTTCCTTTTATTCAGCCCAGAAAAGATAACTAATACAAAATTATTTATACCATCTCAGTGATAAGACAGTGAAGGCTACCAGGGTTCGGAGGAAGCAGAGAAAACTTTTACATGAGATAGTCATGAAAGAACATCATGTAGAATTTTAACTGAGACTTGAAAGATAGGTAGTGTTTTATGAGGCACGGAAAGGAAATGAAGTAGATGTAGAAAGGATGACTTGTGTAGATAAGCATGTTTTTGCACTGTGAGGGATCCACAGTGCACAAATGAGATCCCTGTGGATGAGAATTTGTATGGAAAAGAATGAGCTGTAAGGCAGGATAGCACATTGCAGCAGTCTAGAAGGCTTTGAATGCAGGTGAGGAGAAAATAAAGTAATCAAAATAGTGTTTTAGGAATATTAATCTGGCATTGATGTAGGGGACAGACTGAGGGGAGAAGCAAATAGGAAGCCATGGTGGGTTGTTGGAGGTGTGCACGAGAGAGAAACAGCCTGAATTAGAGCGATAGCAATGGGGTTGGAAAGGAGGAGATGAAAGACGTCGTGAATTGTTTGGATTTCATGACTTCCTACCTTAAAAATCATCGCTGATACCATGTTACCTGTAGAATAAAGAGAAAAGGAGAGTTACATTTCTTACACATTTTCTTTGTGCCAGGAACTTTACATGTTATATGCCATTTATTGGGTACTTGGTATGTGTCAGGCACTGTACCAAATGTTTTAAATTCATTATTTCATTTAATTCTTATACCAACCCCATGAGATCATATTATCTCTGACGTATTATGAGACGAAAGCTTAGGGAGGTTCCTTACAAGTAATTACATGGCAGAACTGGAATTCTTACCTTCTTAACCTCATCTCCCATGTTTACCCTTTATCCACTGGAGACTCCAGGCATACTGATTTAGCTTACCATTCTTCAAATATTCTATCTGTTTTTGTATCTCCATATTTTTATGCTTATAGTGATCCTTCTGCTTTGAATGTTGAAATGCCTTTATCCATCTGGTAAACTTCTCTTCATTCCATCAACTTGTCACCTCTATGAAGAAACCATCACAGACTCTACTAAGCAGAATTTCTTGCCTGAATGGCCACAGTATTCTGTGCATACCTTCATTATAGTCCTTACCACACTGTATTGTACAATTTCTCAAGAATAGGAACAAATAAAAAATAAAAAAAGAATAGGAACGTGTCTTCACTATCTTTATGTTACCAGTACAGCAAAGGCTTGACAGATAATTGAGTGCTCAGTAAATACTTAGTGAATAAATGAATGTATAAATGGCACTATGAATGGTATTTGAACAAAATAATTTTAGAAAATGTTTGTTGACTGGAAGGAGTGAACCAGCTGACCATGAGGGAACGGAAAGACCAACGAGTTAAAATGATCATGCCTTTTCCCAGTGTCAGTGTTTGATGTTTAATATTGACTAATATCCCCAGCTTAGAAATTCATCATTGTTAGCTTGTGTTTTTGGTTCCTGAAATTTTTAGCTTTTGAACAACCTAGTTTATGTTTACCCTGATTTCTTTCAGGTTGTGGACCTGTCTAGATTTTTATTGTCTTGTCAATTATGTTTAAAAGCTGCCAGTCAATAAAGAAAAACCTTAGAGCAAAAAGCTTCATAATTCACCTTAAAAAACTTGTATTGCTTCTTAGAAGGACATTCTTATCATGTTTATTTAATTATTAATTTGTCCCTATTATCACAGGTCAACACATTATATACCCTGAGATGCTGATAAAAGAGAGTTGGATGTGATAAAATGACTTTGGATTGGTCTCTTGAGTTTATGTTAGCAAGCTTTATGCCTTTTTTTGTTAATTAATTTGGAGACAAATAACTATGACCCTGTCTTCTCTCTTTATTTTACATTTTTTTATATCAAGGGCCAATCAGTCAATTGTAGTAGCTGCCTTTTCCCGAAATAGATGAATTACAGTGGATTTAGCCACTTGTTTCCCCATTAAGGAAATTTGAGAAATAAACACTTCATCTTAGCAAAATGAAAAGCAGAATGAATTACTGGTAGTATTGAGTGGTGAAAAAAAGCACAGTGTTTACATCCAGCTAATTATAATGAGTTAGGTGACATTGTACTAATCATTTGACCTCAAACTGGTAGAAATACAGGCTTATGGAGATTAAAATCTGGCTTTACTACTTACAGATATGGGTCAAAAACGGCTGCCTGACTTCTCTGAGCCTCTGTTTTCTCACTTGTAAAAATTGAGATAAGGACATCTTGAAGAATGTGATGAGTGTTAGAAATACACATGCAGCATTTAGCATAGTACCAGATACATAGTGGGCAGTCAGTAAACTGGTTGTTGTTATTAGTGAGAATTTGAAAGAAGAATTTATTTTCATTATTTTCTTTCAATAGAACTTGTAGGTTATTTTTGTGAACTTCAGATTATTTTTGTGTAATCAATAGAAACATGGGGTTATCTCCCTGGTGTCAGTTATGTCTTTGGTTAAGGGAATGATATACGTGCAGAAGAGAGTTTGCTTCCTTTAAATGTTTCATTACAACTGTCACCAAAGCAATTATCTTTTAGTGTTCCTCTTTTGTTTCTTCTCCCTATAGAAATCTGATAGCAGCATTAGTGATTGCCCCAGTGAAGATGGTGATATTATCCCTTCTAAAAAAATGAACCAGTCAAAAGCTCTTGCCAGATCTCCTAAGGCTGTGGACTCAAGCAGTCATAAGCTGAAGAAGGCAGCAGACAAGAAAAATAGGTGAGCCTCTCTATGCATGCTTGTTATGAGGCAGAAGCAAAAAACGATTACCTTCAAAGGATCTCCTAAATTGAAATAATATCCATTTTTCCTGCATTATCAGAGTGGTTAAGTAAGTTATAGTAACACAGTAAGTATTATAACTGTAAAAGATGTAATAACATGAAAAGATGGGTACCATAAAACTTAAGGGGAGAAAGCAGAATTCTAGGTCATATGTGTGCTGTGATTACAGCTGTTGTGTAGAAAATACGCATTAAAAAGCAAATAAAAAGGAATGCACAAAAGTGACAATAGTAGTTATATTAGGTTAGTGAGTTAGTTTTTTTCTTTTTTTCCTTCACTCTATTCCAAATGTGCTATAATGTGTATTTACCGTACTTTTTCACAAATAATGTGTGCGTCAAACATTTTTTGCCAAACGTGCAACCCCTCACTTGTTATTTTTCTGCGTGCACACTATACGTTATACATGTGTGCGCGTATTATTTACATGGGTGCATTATTTGCGGAAAATATGGTACTTTCATGGTTTGGGAAGAAAATCTCATTTACTATTTAAAACTGAAGTAAAGTCTGTATTTCTTGCAGAAAAAACCTTTTTCTATAACATCAGTTTCTATACCTTTGTGAAAATAAGCCTTTAGATTAGAAAGGTATTTCTACCTTCTGTGAGATTTCTTTCACTCTAAATTAGGACCTGAATTCTGATTATTAAAGCATTTCTCAATTCTTGGTGACTTAGGAATTAAAATACTCACTTCCTTTTCTCTTTCCTTCTCTTACCTGTGCAAATTAAGTTGTTTCATTTTGAATCTCTGATCGTATGCCTCATCGTGTCTTTACTTATGTATGAATTCCTTTCAGAAATTTGGTTGAACAGCAGATGCTCTCAGAAACTCTGGAAGATGCCCAAATGATGACATTAAGTGTGGACAGACTGGCCCTTCTGGGTAGAACACATTCAGTCAGGATTATCATTGAAACAATGGGAGTTCCTCCAGATAGTCCTCAGATGATGCTTGGTAAAAAAAACTTTGCTGGGAAACCACCTAGCCTGACAACTAGCCTAGCAAAAAAACGGTATGTCTTCTATATGGGAAAGCTAAATTTGACATTCATGGAGAGTATGTCTCTTAATAACAACAATAATAATATAGTTGTATAACACTCTATGTTTATAAAATGCTTTCATATGCACCATTCAGTCAGCAAAAATGTGTTGAGTCCCCCACTAGGTCCCAAGCATTATACTAGGTAAGTATAGAAATAAAGAAAATTAAGACCCAGACTTTGTTCTTGCAGCCTTACAGTTAACAGGAGAGAGAAACATTTAAATAGCTGTCTATAATACAGGATTTTAGGGGCCAGAAGAGATGTTTATTAAACATACTGTGGGAACACAAGGAAGGGAGCCCTTAATTCTCTCTGACAGGATTCATGAAGACTTTGAAGAAGAGTTAGCATTGGGTAGGGTCTTCAAAGATAGGTAAGGTTCATTAGGGGGATTTGTTTTGTTTTGTTTTGCTTTATAAAGACTTTATTTTTCAGAGCAGTTTTATAGAAAAATTGTACAGAAAGTACAGTCTCCATATGCCCTCTTCCCCCTTGCACATTGTTTCTTAATATTCTACATTCCTGTCGTACATTTATTAAAATTGATAAACCAGTGTTGATACATTATTATTGTCTTAAGTCCATAGTGTACGTTAGGGTTTACTCTTTGTGTTGTACAGTCCTATGAGTTTTGACAAATGCTTAATGTCATGTGTCCATCATTATAGTATCATATAGTTTCATTGCCCTGAAAATGCCCTGTGCTCCATCTGTTTATCCTGTTTGGTTTGCTTTTTTTAATCTCCTTTTTTGTTTTGATTTTTAGCACTTTCTTTGTGGAATATCACTTTCCTGTGGGCTTTTCCAAAAGTGGATTGAGAAAGTCAGCTTTGATCACCGAGGTCATTCGACTTGCCTCCAGTAAAATTACAGATGGAAGTAAGAGAGAGACTGGTTTTCTGCTCCTTAGACATTTTGACCTTTGAAGAATTTTTGAACTCCTAATTACTCATCTGACATTTATAGTATCATAAAATTTTAGAACTAGAAAGAAATTTTAAATTAATCTACTCTAATTCCTTTATTTCATAAGTGAGTTAACTGGTCCAGAAATGCTGTGTCCTGATTCAAGGCAGCAAATCAGTAACATAGCTGAGACTAGAGCTAAGGACTTCTGACGCTTAGATCATGTTCTTACAACTATAGAGGAAACTGAGGCATTAATCAATTAAGTAGCTTGTCTAAGATCATACAACTGGCTTATGATATAACCAGAATTTGAACCCAGAACCGTTTAGATTCCAAGTCGTGTGCTCTAACCTACTTTGCTTCTCAAACATTATTATTATTTTTGGCCACAGTGATTGAGTTCTCCACATGTCTTTCTTAGAAAGAGCGTATGGGAAGTGTGGAATAAGCATCAAGCCAGGAACTGGAAGACTGGGTTGTGGTTCTGATTATACCACACTAATTGTGTGACTCTAGTCAAACTCACTTTTTCCTCTGTGAGCTTCTCAACAATGAAATGGATTGAAATAAGTATTTTTAGGATCTCCTTTCCAACTATTTAAAAAAAAAAAAAAACACTTCTTTGGAACATTGTTAGCAGTTTATTTCCATGAATTTTCTGTTCCATTATCACCCTAACTCAACTTCAGTGGTTTAAAAATAAAACAGCTTAAGCAACAGAGACTTATGTGAGAAATATGATAATATAGTGCAAAAAAGTACCTAGATAGTGAGGAGAAATCTGAGTAGCAGCAGATTGAAATAGAGTTCTGTTTGTACATGAAGGATTTTACAGTATACAAAGTGCTTTCTGACTTATTACCTCAGTTGATCCTCTCAGCACACCAGTTAGGTGTAGGTATTGTCTTCCTTTCTCCTGGTGGGAGAAACAGATAAGCTGGTCTAGTGGGTATGGGCTTTCTGGGCCACACCTTTTGTTCACTGTTCCTATGTGTGGATCCAGATAGCAAGGCCCAGGTCTTGTCTAAGAGTACTAACAGAAGTATATAGAGTCAAGAATTAAGATGGCTAGAGATGAATAGAGACATCAGTAGGTCAGAATGGACAGTTTGAATGAATACCAGAGATTGCAGATTTTCTCTGTAACTGGGCCTTTTGTGAGGGTTCTTCAGATCAGTTTTAACGGCCTAGAAATGAATGGACAGGAAGATCATTTTACAAGTGATAAATGTAGCTAAGGTGATCACTAGCAGCAGAACTGAGACTTGAACTCATATCCTTTGATTCTAGTCCCAAATTCCTTATATTTACCTGTTAAAGCTCCCATAACAATGAGCACAAACTCTATCAAACACCACCATCACTTTATCCCACTTACACTTGTTATTACAGCAGAAACCCCTTCGTTTCCATTCAAGAGATGGACTCTACCCTACCCTAACACTGATAACTAACTTCAGTACCTGGTACCTTGTCTGAGTGTGATAGCAGGAGTCCCCTATTCTTTAACCAGAAGATAAATTCATTTTTATTACTATGTTTTTTGATTCAGTTCTGCTATTTATTTATCCCTCATTATCACACCTCCATCTAGACCTCTTCTGAAGTACACAAGACATTATCTCTCTGGGTAAACCCTCTTGGTACACTGCCTACCAGCTTGTCTTTTAAAAACACTTTAAGTCATATCCTCACATACCCACCGAAGTGTGTGAATCTGTCTCTGTACACAACTTGTGCTCATATGCTTGACATTCATTTCTCAGTGAATCAGAGCAGCATAGCAGTGCTTCTCTTCCATACACTATACCTGGGGTTTTCTCATTGTGTCTGCTTTTCAGTCCTATAACCTTAACACTGTCTATGAAATCATACTGACTAGATTCCTAAAAGAGTTTTTAGTTATATTTGAAAGAGGGTGGTGGGGTGTGCAAGGTATAGATTGATGATGGCTCTAGTTAGATGGTGTGACATGTGGTTCTCCTTACAGTGGTAAAGTTCAAGCAGCGATTTGTGTTTCCAGTACAGTTTGGTGGCCCAATGATAGAGCACTGGTGGAGCTCCAACCTCACTTTCCAAATTTACACAAAGAAAAGTCCACAGAAAAAGGTACTTCAAGTGATTTTGACCTTTTGCCTTTCTATTGACACCAAGGATTTGGAGCATACTTAAAAGTATATGCCTGCTTAAACTAGGAATTTCTCCAGGCTCAAGCAACACTAATGGTCACAATTTTTATTATTACTGTTATTATTATTGTTTATCTACGTCTGCTGTTTGTTATAGGCCAAATGTTATGCTACAGGCTGTAACATGAACATACTATCAGATCTAATCTTCACAACAGCTTTGTTATCTTCATTTTACAGATGAGTAAACTGAGATTTACTGAAGTTAAGTAACTTATCCAAGATCACCCAAGCTAATAAAAGACAAAGCCAGGACTCCATCCTAAGCCTTCTGATTTAGATCCCAATCTCTTAACCTCTTTAAGTGTGCCCCCTGCTATGAAGAGTTGACTGTATTTATATAGACTATTAGGCTTAATTTGAGAGTCTCCTTCCTGTTTTCAGGCAGAATTAGTGAGATATCCAGCCCATATCCAAAATAATATAATTATGAGTTGCAGTTTAGATCAGCTAATTCCAAGTGTTTAAAATCCACTTGTAACTGAAACAACATATATCAGTAAACTAGGTCATAAGCATTTTTTACTTTGCTCACTAAGAGTAGCCTTTTATGATCTTTAGACTTCCACTTTGGTATGAATAGCATGAGAAATGCATTTTGTTTTTTCAGAGGCTATAAATAATACAAGTTCTTTTTGGGAAAAAGAAAATCGGAAAAAGGAGGGGAAACACATAATTCCACAACTTTAAGACAACCTCTATCAACATTTTGATATATTTACAATGAATCATTTTTCTATATCTAGTTAATGGACTTCTTATTATTATAAAAGAATTGTGTATTTTTTTTGTAGAAAACTTGAGAAAGAGGGTCAAAGCCCATTCAGTGGGGCAGAGACAATCTTTTTAATGAATGGTGCTGGCAAAACTGAATATCCACCTGCAGAAAATTGAAACAGGACCCATACCTCACACCATATACAAAAACTAACTCAAAATGGATCAAATACTTAAACATTAAACCTAAAACCATAAAACTCCTGGGAGAAAACTATGGGACCTAATCTTTTATAAAAGTAGGATAACAAACCTTAACAACAGATGTACAAATAGAAGAAGACAAAATAGATAAATGAGATCTCATAAAAATTAAAAACTTACGCTCATCAAAAGGCATTATCAGAAGATTAAAAAGAGAACCTACAGACTGGGAAAAATTCTTCCAAAATGATGTAGCAGATAAGGGTCTAATCTCCAAAATTTATAGAAAACGTCAACAACTCAACAAGGAAAAGACAACCTAGTTATAAAATGGGCAAAGGACATGAACAGAACCTTCAACAAAGAATACATCCAAGCAGCCAACAAACATATGAACAGATATTCATAATCATTAGCCATTAGATAGATGCAAATCAAAACTGCAATGAGATGCCATCTCTCCCTGACTAAAATAAAAAAACAGATAACAAATGTTGACGAGGATGTGGGGAGATTGAAACCCTTATCCATTGCTGGTGGGACTGTAAAATGGTAAACCACTATGGAAAATGATATGGCACTTTCTCAAAAAACTAGAAATAGAACCACTTTATGATTCAGTAGTCCCACTCCTAGGGTTATATCCTACACCCAAAACCAAACACAATGCCTCGAGTCAATTCCGACTCATAGCGACCCTATACGACAGAGTAGAACTGCCCCGTAGGGTTTCCAAGGAGTGGCTGGTGGATTCGAACTGCTGACCATCTGGTTAGCAGCCAAGCTCTTAACCGCCGGGCTACCATGTCTCCAGGGATATACCCAAGAGACGTAAAAGTACTGACAAGAGCAGACATATGCACAGTTATGTTCATTGCAGCTTTATTCATAATAGCAAAAAAAAGTGGAAACAACCAAGCACCCACCAACAGATAAATGGATAAGCAAATTGTGGTACATACATAAAGTGAACTACTACGTAACTATAAAAAACAATGATGAGTCCTTGAAACATAACGTGAATGGACCTGGAGGGCATAATGCTATGTGAAATAAGTCGAGCATATAAGGACAAATATTGTGTGATCCCTCTTTTATAAGAAGACAAGAACAGGTAAATATAGAGAGACCAGTATTCACTGGTGATTACCAGGGAGAGGAGAGAGGAAGGGAAAAGTACACTTTAGACCATAAAATTGTTATTTTTGGTGATGAGAAAAGCACACCAAATGTGGATTCAGTGAGCACAGCACAACCAAAGTAAAAATGAGTCTTTGAGCACGTATGGGCAGGTATAGACACAATTAAAGAGAATGCTGACAAACTACAATAAATGTAGCTAATGTCAGTGAACAATTTGTGTGGAAATTGTCAAATGGGAACCTAACTTGCTGTATAAACTTTTACCAAAAACTCAATTAAAAAAAAAAAGAGGCTGTAATGAATATCTTTGTAATACTCCTTTGTGCATATATCAGAATATATTTAGGAAAATAATTTGTATTAATTAATGAGATAAGAGTATGTGCATTTTAAATTTTGATCAATAATGCCAAATTACCTACAAGTTTGTATCAATTTATACTACCTCCAGCAGTGAATAAACTTAAACATCTTAATTTCTGCCAAAAAAAGAAAACTTAACCAAAAGAGATCTACATAAATGGAAAAACATACCATGCTCATGGGTAGTTAGACTCAACATTGTGAAAATGATAATTCTAACCAAAGAAAACTACAAATACAATGCAGTCGCGATCCAAATACCAACAACATTCTTTAAAGAGATAGAAAAACTAATCATTAGCTTTATATGGAAAGGTAAGAGGCCTCAGAGGAGTAAAGCACTATTGAAGAAGAATAAAGTAGCAGGACTTGTACTACCTCAGAACTACTATACAGCTGTAGGAGTCAAAGCAGTCTGGTACTGGTACAATGATAGACACACTGACCAATGGAACAGAACTGAGAACCCAGATGTAAATCCATCCACCTACAGTCACCTGATCTTCGACAAAGGCACAAAGGCCATCAGATGGGGAAAAGTCAGTGTTTTTAATAAATGGTGCTGGCAAAACTGGATGTCCCTCTGCAAAAAAATGAAACAGGACCCATACCTCACACTATACACAAAAAGTAATTCAAAATGGATCAAAGATCTAAATATAAAACCAAAAACTATAAAGATCATAGAAGAGAAAATAGAATCAATACTTGAGGCCTAATACACGGCATTAACAGGATACAAACCATAACTAACAACACACAAACCCCAGAAGATAAGCTAGATAACTGGGATCTTCTAAAAATTAAACACTTACAATGCTCATCAAAAGACTTCACCAAAAGAGTAAAAAAAGAACGTACAGACTGGGAAAAAAATTTTGGCTATGACAAATCCGACAAAGGTCTCATCTCTAAAATCTACAGGAAAATCCAATACTTCTACCACAAAAAGAGAAATAACCCAATTAAAAAATGGGCAAAGGATATGAACAGACACTTCACCAATGAGATCATTCAAGCGGCTAGCAGACACATGAAGAAATGCTCACAATCACTAGCTGTTAGAGAAATGCAACTCAAAACCACAGTGAGAGACCATTTCACCCCGCCATTATTGGCACAAATCAAAAAAACAGAAAATAACAAATGTTGGAGAGGCTGCAGAGAGATTGGAACTCTTATGCACTACTGGTGGGAATGCAAAATGGTACAACCATTTTGGAAAACGATATGGCGCTTCCTTAAAAAGCTAGAAATACAGACACCAAATGATTCAGCAATCCCACTCCCAGAAATATGTCCTAGAGAAATAAGAGCTGTCACACGAATAGACATATGCACACCCATGTTCACTGCAACGTTGTTCACAATAGCAAAAAAATGGAAACAACCTAGATGCCCATCAATAGATGAATGGATAAACAAACTATGGTGCATACACACAATGGAATACTACACAACAATAAAGAACAATGATCAATCTCTGAAACATCTCCCAGCATGGATGAATCTGGAGGCATTATGCTGAGTGAAATAAGTCAATCACAAAAGGACAAATAGTATATGAGACCACTACTGTAAAAACTTACGAAAAGGTTTACACACAAAAAGAAACAATCTCTGATGGTTACGAGGGAGGGGAGGAGTGGGATGGAAAAACACTAAATAGACAATAGATAAGTGGTAACTTTGGTGAAGGGTAAGACAGTACACAATACTGGGGAAGCCAGCACAGCTTGTACAAGGCAAGGTCATGGAAGCTCCATAGACACATCCCAACTCCCTGAGGGACCAAATTACTGGGCTGAGGCCTGTGGCGACCATGGTCTCGGGGACTGTCTAGCTCAATTGGCATAACATAGTTTATACAGAAAATGTTCTACATTCTACTATGGTGAGTAGCGTCTGGGGTCTTAAAAGCTTGTGAACAGCCATTCTATGGGTCTCACCCCGTTGGGAGCAAGGGAGAATGAGGAAAACTAAAGATGCAAGGGAAAGATTAGTCCAAAGGACTAATGGACCACAGCTTCCACAGCCTCCACCAGACTGAGTCCAGCACAACTAGATGGTGCCCTGCTGCCACCACCAACTGCTCTGACAGGGATTACAATAGAGGGTCCTGGACAGAGCTGAAGAAAAATGTGGAACAAAACTCTAACTCACAAAAAAAGACCAGACTTACTGGCCTGACAGAGAGTGGAGAAACCCCAAGAGTATGGTCCCCGGACACCCTTTTAGATCAGTAATGAAATCACTCCTGAATTTCACTCTTCAGCCAAAGATTAGACAAGCCCATAAAACAAAAGGAGACTAAAGGGGCTCACCAGCACAGGCGCAAGGACTACAAGGCAGGAGGGGACAGGAGAGCTGGTAATGGGGAACCCAGAGTTGAGAAGGGAGAGTGTTGACATGTCATGGGGTTGGCAACCAATGTCACAAAACGATATGTGCACTAACTGTTTAATGAGAAGCTAGTTTGTTCTTTAAATCTTCATCTAAAGTACAATAATAAAAAAAAGAAAAGAAAATTTGACAAAGTTAAAAAAGAAAGCAAGATTTGCCTATGATCCCATCACCAAGAAATAACTATTGTTAGCATTTATGTGTATCTCCTTTGTCTTTTTCAAATACAATGTACAATATATATGTAAGTCTTTGATAATATTAGTGTACTTAAATGCAGTCTTTATCCTGCAGTTTTCTCATTTAACATTCTCTTGAGTGTTTTTATTCATTATTCTTCAAAAATATGTGTGTAATCTTTTCCACATAATTTTATAAATATTTGAAAGTTTACTATGTCTATAATTTAATATTCTGTTTTTTACAAACATAGTAAATATTATATTATTATAAAACTCTCAATAAACATCATTTTAATGGCTATGTACTATTACATTGTAGGGCTGTGCTATAATTAATCATTCTGGATTATTGGATACCCAATTATTTCTAATTTTTAACTACTTTTAAAAAATAATGGAAAGAACATATTTATGTATAAGCTTTTGATGTATATTATTTCTTTCAAAGAAGTGGAATTACTGGGCCAAAAAATAGGAATATTTAAAGTTTTTTGTATTTATTACCAAATTTACTTTCTAAAAGTATGTTGCCAGTTTATTTTACCAGCTTCACACGTATGTCAGAATCTGTTTTTCCATAGCCTTTATGGCATCAGGAATATTAATTTTTATAATTTTACTAGCTTTAAAGGCAAAGAAGTATATAACCTAAATTTTATTTTTAATAGTGAAGTTGAACATTTTTCATGAAGAACTAACTCTTAAAAACAGTAAACCATTATCTTTCAACCTACTTGTGCCTTATGAAACCCTCTATAATCTTTTAGGGAGACATAGTGAAACCCAGAAGGGATGCCAATATGTGACAGAATATGGGATCCCTCTTGGAGGGGCCTCAGTCAAATAATTAAGCTATTTATTTCATCAAGCATTGTTTCTTTTGTAAGCCATTATGTGTTGTCACTTCAGCCAAAGTCATCTGTGGCTCCCCTTTAATTAAACCTAAACTTTTTCTTTTCTTCTTCCCTTAGCCAGAAGTAATTGGATCCGCATCACTTCCTTTGCGAGCTGTCATTCAGTCAGAGTTTCTTTCTTTCAGTGACCACCTTCCAGTGCAACAGGAAAGTGGTCAGACCCCAGTTGGCCCCCTCAAGGTATATAGATATACATTCATATAGTAAGAAATATTTCCTGAACACATAGTATTGTCTGGCATTGAGAATACAGCAGTAAATAAGAAAATAAAGGTCTCTGCTCTTATGGAGCTTATATTGAATTAGTGCAGCAGAGGTGCTGTGAAGGAAATAAATCTTATAATGTGGTAGCGATCACCTCAGAAGAATTAAGAGATAGTGGTCAGGAAGGTCTCTCTGAGGAGGTGACATTTAACATGAGATACATATACATATGCACCCACAGTTGCGTATACACACGTTTTTATTTCCTGCACCATTTGAGTAAGTTACAGACGTGCATCTTTTTCCTTAAATTCTTTAGTGTGTATTTCCTAAGACAAGGACATTATCATACATAACACTGCACAGTTATAAAAAGCAATTTAGCACTGATACTATATTCTATCTATAGTCCATACTCATATTTCATTGATTGTGCCAGTACTTTCCTTCATAGCAAATTTTTATCCAGTCATGTATCATCCATTGTATTTAGTTGTCACATCTCTCTAATCTTCGTTCGCCTGGAACAGTTCTGCAGCCTTTCTTTGTCTTTCAAGACACTGATATTTTTTAAAAAGATAAGACCAGTTATTTTGTAGAATATCCCTCTGTTTGGGTTTACCTGAATGAGTTATTACTATGATGATTGTAAAATGGTGATTTTTCTAACTCCATCATTTACTGTGCATGTTTTAACTAGCATTCTGCTATACGGAAGAGTGGAGCCCTGGTGGGACAGTGGTTAAGAGCTTGGCTGCTAATCAAAAGGTCATCAGTTCAAATCCACCAGCTGCTCCTTGGAAACCCTATGGGGAAGTTCTACCCTGTCCTATAGGGTCGCTGGGAGTCGGAATCGAGTTGACAGCAGCGGGTATATGGAAGAGTTATCCCTTTTCTTGTATTTATTTATACCAGTATGGACACGTTGATTGTTACATTATTCAGTAGGTTATAATCCATTGCTGTTAGTGTTCATTTTGATGTTCAAATTGTCTCAGATTTGGCCAGTGGAAGCCCTTTTATCTGGCTTCTGTGGCCTTTCAATATTTCTCCTTCATTTTATGGGCACTTATTTTCTGACAAACGAAAATATTCCAGGCTTATATTATTGATAAATCATCTTCCTAGCTTTTCTTAGTCCTGGCAAGTTAATGTATACACAGTGTGTTAGCGTTCTTGGTATTTTGGTATTTGAGGATGAGTTAATTCATTTCCTAACAATCTGATTCTGATTCTAGGTGACATAGTTATGGACTCTTTTCCTTTTGTGTTTTATAGGTGACTGTGGAGCTTGTTATAGATAACAAAGATTTCACTGGTATTAATACTAATCTAGGTAGCAGCAAGCATACCCCACTTTGTGCTCCTGCAAGTCCAGAGAAGATACTACCAGAAACTAAACAACATGTTACTGGGGCCGGAAATCCACAGTCCCTAAATCAAATTCATGAAGAAACTGCAAAGGAAGAACAGAATTTTGTCCACCCAAAGTCACCAAGCCCTGTAGTGCCAAATCCTTCAACCTTCATGGCTGTGCCAGCCTCCTATAGTTTAGTAAATCAGACAAGTGAGTCAGCAAAAGAGAGTGCTTTACTGTTGCATGTGCTGTTAATGGTGCCAGATGGAAAAGATTTCATTACTGGAGAATCTGAGAAACAACTACCATGCAATGTTTATTTAAATTGTAAACTCTTCAGCACAGAGGAAGTCACCAGATCTGTGATCGCGTGGGGCACAACACAACCAGTCTTTAACTTTTCTCAGGTAACTTTATACATGTCTTAACATTCCATATCCATTAAAGGTGGATATGTTCAGACTGGAAGAGACCTTTACAACCATCTGGTGTGCCAGACAATCCCACTATTGAATGGCAAAAGGAAAAGACATTGCCAGCATTTTAAAGCTTTTTGTGTCTTTCTATTCTGTCTCAGCTGATATGCCTTCCTACTTTTCTTTTCTCTGAGTTGTGGATTCTACACCTTTTTGTTTCCTGTAGGACGTTGATCAGTTAAGCATCCCCTTTCTTTCCTGTATCTTCAATCCCTATTTTATTTATTTTTCCGCACTCTCATTTATTCCTCCATTTATTTCAGTATTCATCAGTATTCATGTCTTCTGTTTTTACCGCTCATGTTTTCTGTTGGTTTCATTATTATGGCTTCTCTTTCCCTCTGCTATTGCAGTTGTTACTATAGGTTGGGTTCCTTTAAATTCGTGGGCCCATTAATTTAACTGAGCTGCTCTTGGGTCTAGATCACTGGTTGTCTTTGTGACTTCTCTTTTCTCTTACTAGTTGGCTAATTCTGGAGTGATTTTACATTGAAAATCCAGATGGGTGATTGGTGTTGCTATGTACCGTAACACCTATTGGGCAGAGTTTTTTACACTAGACCATTTCATAAAATACTGTCCAGCCAATGGACTGGCTGACCTTGATGTTTAATCCTTGTCCAAATCTGTAGGCATTCTTGTTTCAAAAATACCCCCTCAGCTGGGGTTTACGAATGGGTCACTTTCCCATGGAAAGGATTGCATGAGCTTGGCAGGCAGCACGTTTAACATGTCTGACAACTTCCTTTGCATCCCCAAAGTCCCATTTATATGAGCTTTGTCATCAGTGAACTCATACTGTTTTGTATTTGGCCTTTAAATGTTGGTCTCTAACACCGGTCTATGGCTTCTCTTGAGGATACAGAGTAGGCTTTATTCTGATGTCTTCAGTTCCTAGCACTGTGCATGGCACATAGTAGGTTTTCAGTAAATGCTTGTTGAATAAATGTATAAATTAATAATTTCTGAGGTGTGGATCTTTATTTTGTTTTTTTTTTTTTTTTTTTGGCTGTTCCTTTCCCCCAGGTGATTCCTGTCTCTCTGTCTTCCAAATACCTGGAAAGGCTTAAGAACAATGTGATGATAATTGAAACTTGGAACAAGGTGCGGAGCCCAGGACAGGACAAGCTGCTCGGGCTGGTGAAACTCCCCCTTCATCAATTTTACATGTCATTCAAGTAAATGGGCTCTTTTGGAGTATTCTCTATTTTGCATCTTTAACTTTGTATGGGCTAAAGAACAACTCTTTTGGTTTGCAGCCATGACAAGCCCAGTAATAGCTTGGAGGACTTTGCTCAAATTCACCACAGTTGCTCTTTTTGTAGTTTAAGGTAGTTTTATAAATACTGCTTACCATGTTTCAGGCACTATGCTTAGTATCTTATATACATTAAGTCATTTAATCCTAACAACAACTTTCTCAGGCAGGTACTATTATTCTTCCTATTTTAAAGATGAGTTAACAGAGCCACAGGGAAGTTAAATAATTTGTCACTTATGTCACAAGTAGTGGAGCCAGGGTTAGAACCCAGATAGTCTGGCTCTAGAGTCCACTCTCTTTACCAAGAAGCTGCTGTTGAAGATTATCGCCTCACAAAACACATGGTTTACCTCTCTGTCACAACTTCAGTATTGCCCGCATCAGCTATTTTCTATGGAAATCAGTAAGATTTCCATAGCGAGCATTGTCTTTCAGGACCTCAGATTTGATTACTGTACCTCACTTTGACACCCAGTATTGATTTACCTCAAGGTTATTTCTATCCTCAGTACAGACTCTTTTATTTTGATTTAAGGTACTGATTTTTCATTATTTTAGCACTAGCCTCTTTCCAGCAGCCTTCTTGTGGTTGTCTGTTTTGAATGTTGTGTTTTACATTTTATAAAGAGCACTTTTATGAGCACTACCTCATTTGAGTCTTACTGTAACCCTGTAAAGGAGCCCTGGTAGCGCAGTGGTTAAAGCGATCGACTGCTAACCAAAAGGTTGATGGTTGAAAACCACCAGCGGCTCCATGGGAGAAAGATGTGGCAGTCTGCTTCTGTAGAGATTTACAGCCTTGGAATCCCTATGAGGTGGCTATGAGTTGGAATTGACTTGACAGCAGTGGGGTTTGGTTTTTGGTTTTGTAACCCTATAAAGTGTTATCATTATCCCCATTTTGCAAATGAGAAACTTTTCCTTTGACTTGAACAAGTCACTTAATCTCTCTGGCTTTCTTTTCCTTATCTTTAAAATGAGGGTGATCATAGATCCCCTATCTCTTTTGTGGAATAATTATGAGGATCCAGTGAGAAAATAAATGGGTAAGTCTTATGTGAACAGTTAAATAGTTAATGATGGTAACATTGGAAAGCACAGTTAGGCTGAGGAGTACTACTGGAATCATGGATGCCACTGTCAGTTCTAGGCTTTTGGTTTTTCCCCGTTTTTAGTAGTGGTATTAGTCTGGTATTTCCCTTCCCCCCTCATTCCATTAGACCCCATTCTTTTCTGAAAGAGCGTAAAACAAATAATAGCTACCAATTACTGAACACTTACCATGTACCAAGCATCATCTCTGGTATTTTATATTTATCTCAGTTTAGTCCTAACAACAGCCCTGTGATGGAAGTTTTATTATCTACATTTTACAGATGAGGAAACAGACTCAGGTTAAATTACCCAGAGTCACACAGCAGGTAAGTGGCAGAGCTAAGAGTCAGCATGGTATAATGGAGAGCATTTGGACTTTAGAATCTTATGGATCAGAGTTTGACTCTCAGCTCAACTTCTTACTAGTTGTATATCCTTAACTAAGTTACTTAACCTTTTTGAATTTAGCTTTTCTCATACGTTAATAGTGGATAATACCAACCTTTGCAGTGTTAGGAGGATTAGAAACAATATATGTAACGTGCCTACCACATACCACATAGTAGATGCTCAGTAGACGGCAGATACTATTGGTAATAATGTTATCTGAATCTTATCTGCCAGACACCAAAGCTACATTCTTTCCAGTTTTCTACACTTGCCTCCCTGTAAAATAGTGCTATTCAGCAAGCTTCTGCTGAGACACTTTTCAATCCAGACACTAGGCTTGGGGCCTTGATAATACAGAGATAAACTGGACCCATTCCCTGCCCTCAGATTACTACATTTTGAACTTATCTGCCTGGTAATTTTTATTTGATGGATCACTGATAGAATTCACACTTTAAAAAAACCACTACTACTTTCCTAGTTGTAGATCTATTTTTAACAAACTGAGAAAGGAAGCCAAGTAAGAAATGAAGCAACTCTCTAACGTGATTAATGATTGTTATTGCTCATCTACAATTTCTCCCCCTCTAGAGATCCTAAGATTTCTCGCCTGCTACTTGATGCTCAGTACCCAGTTGTTGCAGTGGACAGCTACATGCCAGTGATTGATGTGTTTTCAGGCCACCAAAATGGGAGCCTTCGAGTCTTTTTAGCTATGGGTTCTTCAGATCAGATAATGGCACTGCAAAGATTAAAGAATGAAGAAGGGACACTTCCTCCCTTCAGTCCTAGGCCAGCCCATTTCCTGGACCAGCCTTCTAAAGCATCTGTTGCTATGGTAGGTGACTGAAACCTTGATTGTTCACAAAAACTATAATCTCATTTTATCTTGCATATTTTAGTAAAACCACTGCCCAAATCCTTATTTCAGTAATGAAAGACTGAATAAAAGATCGTAACTGGTACTCCAGGGCTTCCTATAAATCAAATGAATCATTAGTATTTTTCTGATGTGGTTTAAGTGGATCTCTGTGTCCCTCTGAGCTCCCTGAACTTATAAAGAAAATCTAACTGGGCAACCAAATCTTAATCTTATAATTTACTTAATTGCCTTTAAAAAAGTGAGGTGATGTGGAGATTATAAATGTGAACCAGCAAGATCTTACTTGGTTACCTGGCTAAGGCCATATTGGAAAGTTAGTAGTGAGGTTCCTTGCTTTTCTACTATAACTTAAAAGTAATTTGTTTTATACAGTGCTCTGCAATTGAGAAAGCACATTGACATACTTTATCTTGATAGTTTATTTCCCTAATAACTATGTGAAGTGGATCATTGTGAGATTCAGAGGGGATATGGTACTTGTCCAAAGCCACATAGCTAGAATTGGGAGAACTGGGGTTCAGGCAGATCTTCCGACTCCCAATTCCAGTCTTCATTCCACTATATCATGTCATACTGTATCTAACACTTACTGCCTTTACCAACCAAAACAAACCAAACCCGTTGCCGTCAAGTCAATTCCGCCTCATAGCCACCCTATAGGACAGAGTAGAGCTGCCCCATAGAGTTTCCAAGGAGCTCCTGGTGGATTCGAACTGCCAATCTTTTGGTTAGTAATCATAGGTCTTAACCACTACGCCACCAGCGTTTTTACCAGTATAGCGAAATCACAGTCTCCATGCTATTTAAGTATGTAATTTTTTAAAATCTGAATCTGAATGACAAATTTAAATGTCTCTCCTCTAGCAGGGAAAGAAGATTAAGAAAATATCCATTAGTAGGGTATTGTTTATTCGTATGTTTTGAATTCTAAACTTTTCTTTGCTGTTTCTATTAGATATTAGTGTCTATCAATAAATAATAGTGTTTTTTAATTTAAAAATTAAAAGCACAAGT